CGCCATTAATCGTCACTGTCTAGGCACCGTCAAAAAAAAATCAACTTACCAATTCCTCACTGATCAATGATTGTCCTCCTTTCTGTATTTAGCAGACTTCGTTCTTTCTAATATTCTCATCTGAATTATTGAATAATAATAATAATATCCCATGGAATTCTCGTTTGTGATGGTCGTTCATATTTTCAACTTTCAACTCGTTAACACATTATATTCCACGCTTACTTAAAGCAAATATAAAATGTAAAATCGTGCCATTTATACAGCATATCGTATTACCTTTTCAAACAATAGCCCATTCTAGAATCTGTCATATTTTAAAAAGACTTGATTGGCCACGATTCGTTATATTATATAAACAATTTAATATTTAATAAATTTTTAATACATAAAATTTGTATTCCATATATATATATATATATATATATATATATATATATATGATTAGGCGTTATATAATTAGGTAATTATTAATAAAAAACATCTTGGTCTAAAGATAGATATTTAATATGACAATGTTTTATTTCTCTCTATATGAGAATTATTGCAAATTTATTTGTTCATTCTAATAATATTATGCATTCCTATGGTTATTACATAAGGAAATTCAGAGTTTTCTTTAAACCCGTTTTAGTCCGTTCTTTGTTATTATAACAATACGTACAAGCACATAGTAGTTTTTAATATTATACAAGCATTGGGTGTAATTACAACTTTGATTAATATCAATAATATTAATTTATATATTAATTTTATATTCTTAACGTGATTTTATGTACAGCACTACTAATGACTTGATTAATTTTTGAAAGTTCTATTCAGGTTCACACATTGAATTATTAATATGATATTTGATATTAGTAAGTGAATATGCTTTTACTATCTCAAGCGTCTCACTTTTTATTCGCGCATCTTCTTTTATAAAAAATATTTGTGTAAAATATAAACGTATTGGTATGTTGTAATATAATTAATACTGTTATGGCATATTCGTAAATGTAATATTGAAGTGAAAAAATTGAACGACAGAAGTATATCATTTGTAAGAAATTATTTTAACGAGTGAAATTATTATTCACAAACCATAAAATAATACGAATGCCATAATTAAAATAAATAGTAAGAATTTATGCTGAAAATCTATATTATTATCGAATTATGCTATAAATTAATAAACAGAGTAATTACGCAGATTTAATAGCATTATAATAATTGAGTAGACGCATATGGTTCGTTTATATTGTTAAATGATCTATTTTATCATTTGCAAAGAGAAAAATTCAACATGAAAGCTTAAAGAGGTTGTATAATATAGGTTAAAAAATTATCTATCTTAACGGTTGTTTGGTGTTTTTAGAATACCACTATTGGTTAGCCATAGCCTTCGTTGTTCTTATTGATTAAATAACGTGAACCAAAGACCGAGGCACCAACGAGAAGAAGGGAATTTTCGAAAATTCAAATAAATTCGCTAAAAATTCATAGAATGCAGCTATCGCGATGCTTCTGTGCTGAGAAATGCATTAACAGAGAGAGAGAGAGAGAGAGAGAGAGAGAGAGAGAGAGAGGCCTAATGTACGCGTAAAACCTTGTGCGCGCGAAAAAAAAAGAAAAACGTGGAGAACAAAAAGTTCTTGAGAATTGGCATTGGAGCGAAGCCCTAACAATATACATACGTATAAAATTGTAGGCCTTGCAATTCGAATGCTCGTGATGCGTTGAGGACAGGCAGAGAAGAAATCTGCTCTCGAAAAGCTGAGCAAATTAAAATACGATCGTTCGATTAATGCGTTCGATCGGTAGCACGTATAATGGAGCGAGTCGGAGCGGTTCGTCGCTGAGAGTGCTCCTCCCGTCTCCGTAGGAGCTGTCGCGCTCCTGAAAGGAAGAAAGCAGAAAGAATAAAACGCAGAAAGCAGCCCAATGAAAGAGAGATGGAAGGCAGACGCCGATAAAGCAGTCAGATAGGTCCTGCTGTATGGTATGGTAGTGCGCGTCGATATACGTCATGGAGGACGCGGAGAGTCGATCATCGATCGCTGGAAAGAGCTGATTCGGAAAGTGGCTCTACTAGCTGTGGTCTTTATCTTCTCCCTCTCCTTCTCCCTTCCCAGCCTCGTCCACACCCATCATTTCGCCATTCGACCGCCGAGCGGTGTACTGCGCCCGGATAAATATAATGAAACTCCCAATGCAATAAATAATGCATCGGTAGCTACCGGTGTGCCGTATAACTCATTCCTATGGAGCAGTGCCAATTCTCTCTCCCCCTTCTCTCTATCTCCTTCTCATTTCTTGTTACATATGAACGACGGAGAAAGAAGCGGAGGAGAAAACCACTCCGCGAGATTCGCTTGCGCTATCTCCATTCCTCATAGTCGCCTCTTTCTCCCCACCCTGTCGCCTTACACCCGTCTACCATAAATCCGAACGCTACTATCCGCCGGCCTCTGCCTCTAATTGCATTATAAATTGCAGCAAACATATTCTTATAAATGCATGCGTATATCGCCTCCGCAGATTCCACTGGAAGATTAACGATCATATGAGGAAAAAATTAAATGTGCCCCAAAAAAATGGGTAATGCAAATAAGTAGTATGTAAATCGAAACCATACACGTGTACTACGCACGTTTGTCAGACATCGCACCGATGCGCTCAAGAGGGAATAATAGTAGTTCAAAATTCTCGAAGCCCAATTCATCCACGGCGTCTCAAAATTTTACTGTTTGCTGCGCAAACTCTCTAATCCATCCATTTTATTCTATTCTATTTCAGTTGAAATGCCTAGATTTTATTAAGCAAAGCATATTGGCTAAGTCGGCTACATTCTTATGCATATGTTTTTACAGAAAAGTGTCTTAAAATGTATAAAAACTACTTACAAACTAAATTTCTTACTTTTTTTTTGTACCAAACAAAAACAATGAAGAAAAAACTAAAATATATAACAATAACAATAACAACAATTACGACGACGACGACGACAACAACAACAACAACAACAATAATAACAAATAATAACATTAAAAATAACAATAATTATTATTGAATTAAAAAATACTAATATTATAATGATTTACAAAAGCGATTTGTTAAAATGGCAATTGATTGTGAGTAGTTGAATTGATGGAATAGGGTGCATTAAGGGGCTAAACTAATTCTAATTATGCTGGTAATTAATGATTAAGCAATGACAATCTAGTGACAACTGTAAGAATCTATCAATGCAGATGATCAATTGTCACTCAACGCTGCCTTATTAGTAGGACTTCTACATATCCTGCTGTGCTCTTTTCTTACGAGAGGGAGAGAGAGAGTGAGTGAGAGAGGGAGAGAGAGAGAGAGTAAAAAAGATAAAAATTTTCTTGCATGGCACGGCACGTGTAAAACCACTATATCTAACTGCCCTTTGGCAACTGGAGAACCACCATAGCAAAAGTTAAATCGAGTAGAATAGAAAAAGAGGAGGTATAGAAAGATGAAAGGAGGAAGGAAGAAGGTAGAAAGAGGAAGGAACAAGGAAGAAGAAGGAAAGAGAAGAGAAAGGGCAAAAAACGAGGGACATTGTCAGTGACTTGCTCTATACTTACGAGGTCACGGTCCTTCGATAGAAGAATGGAGTGGGAGAGAAGAGGAGCCACAACAATAATCTTCATATCCTCTGTACCGCACATAATTGTGCCCGGGGAGAATTTATGGAGCACTGTAGCAAGCTGTTAAGGAGTAGGGGTATACTCTCCTGTACAGCCCCGGGATATGCGTCGATCGAAAGATGCGCTGCAACTCTCCTCTTGCATTGGAGAGCACCGGTACTGATCCGATCACCAACAGAAGAAATAAGGAAAGAGAATATATCTACAGCTATCTCAGCCTAGCGAGAACCCATTCACTAAGTACACAGCTAAGCATTACACGCACCACACGAATGCACGTCTGTCTGATATATCTACAACCGTATGTGTTATTACGTATTCGCTCGCACGAAACTAACTCCAAAAATGCCGTCTATCTTTTTTTTTTATATCTATAGTATTTCTATGACTGCGTATGCCGCGATTTCTAAGACAAGCAAATCCACCTTTCATAAATTGAATAAAATGAAAAGCAAGCCAAGAGTCCTTCAAAATTAAAATATATTTTCTTTTTGAAGTGCCTGCACTATTAAACTTGAAAAAGATGAATATAAATATTTATCATTCATTATATAGTTTGTTCAAAAAGTTGTCTTAGCTTAAAAATATAAGCGGCTCGAAATTGAAATCTATTATCTTCAAAAATATTAATAACACCAACAACAACAGCAACAACGGCAATAATAATAATAATAATAATAATAATAATAATAATAATAATAATAATAATAATAATAATAGTAATAATAATAATAATAGATGTAGCTATAAAGTGACTTTATATAAAATGTTTAAATATGTCAATTGTGCATCAAAGCTAGAAAATTAGAGATATTACATAATTATATACAAAAAATTGCAACTACCTTTTTTCAAATAAATTTCTTCAAATGTCAATTCAACATAAAATATTCATCTATCATATATGTAAGTATGTAAGTAGGAAGGTATGTATGTATATATAAATGTATGAATGTATGTACGCATGGACATATGCGTGAATTCACGCATGCATGTATGGATTTATGAATGTAGGTGGAAATGTACGTACGCAAGTATGGATTTAAAAATATATGTTAGCATACTTATATATCCATCTATCTATCTATCTACTTATCTATCTATACATCTATCTATATATCCATCTATCTATCTATATCTATATATCTGTGTGTTTGTGTGTGTGCGCGCCCGCGTAAAGTATTTGAATCAACGATCAGAATTCATTCGGTCTCCGGAGCGAAAAGAAAGAAAGACAACGAGCGAGCGATCGAGCTAGCGACTGAGAGAAAGAGATTTTCATCAATGATTGCATTTGATTCGAGATAAGGTACAGTCTCGCTTAGCCAGACTTTTTCTACTTACCATTGTTCTGGAGCTTACACTTGAAGGCCGATCGCAGGTGGTCAATGATGGAGTCGAGTGCCCGACGACTGGTACTACCGCTACTGCTGCAACCACGAACAACGATTCTCGTCTCCGAGAGATTGCGTTCCGGCTCGTTCGCCAGGTTGACCTGTTGGATAAAATTCTTTCATATGCACATTGCATTCGCTTAATTTACAAAAGCATTTGAACGATTTATTTCAATTTAATGCTTAATGCGAGAATAAATTTCAAATTTATTTCAATAAATAATATTAATTCACTTCGTGTTATATTTAATTCTAAAGGCAATATGTACTAAGAGCCAATTATACAATAATAATATCAAAATTTATGTTCACTGTACTTTACTTTAATTTCAAGACTTATTTTTAATTGTTTATTCAATCGAAAATAAGTTAATCTAAAGAAAAATATAGGTATTTGAATGAAATCGAATAAACAATACGATATATATACATTAAGCTACTGGGGAATATTTATAATTATCTTTTTACATATACTGGCTGCTTATAATATTTGAATAAAACAATGGCAATTATATAATTTCATAAGAAGTTTCTTGAAGCTTGGAAAAATTAAAAAATTATATATATTAGTTATGTAATATGTTGTATAAAAAAATATCAAGCTCGGATTTAATTATTAAAAAATATTTTAATGAAATATCGGGCGCCAAAAAGGTTCTGCTCGTTATAAATTATGGAAATAAAAATGCTAAGGGAATAACATAAAATTTCCTTGCATTTATCTTATTTATTATATATTCAAACTAAAGCTCGTAGTCATTGCCATATTTAAGAGTTAATTGAGGCAAACAAAGTTACAGGTAAGAGGACGATAATATCGTATAGAAATCAGCTAAAAGATTTAAAAAAAAAAAAAAAAAAAAAAAAAAAAAATTACTTCTTATTTTGGCCGTGTAAAAGTATCGTTGGAAACTAAAAGTCCCGTACTCTGACTATCATTCCTCTAAATAATTCCAACAATAATTGCTTCATCATTGTAATATTTATACGCAACTAGCGATACCCCATGACAATTGTATTTGCAGAGAGACGCGTAAAAGTTGCATTCCTAGCTACGTTTTCTCCTTCAGATGAAACAATTCAGTTTGTTCGTAGTACTTACAATGCCGAAGTTACATTCGGATGATAGGTATAGAGACTCGGTGAAGAAAAGATGAAAATGGTAAATTGGGATAGAGGAGGAAGAATAGGATTCGGAGTCGTAACGCAGTGCAGGGAAGCGAGTGGACTTGAGATGAGCCCAGCCTACTCTTTTCCGATAGTATCGCGCGTTTATCCGCAATGCGTTTAGCATTTTAATGGTCGTAGAGTGGAGAACAGCCAGGAAGCCTCTCGGCTTGTTTGGGATGTATAGTCCTTTTCCTTTTCCTCCTTCTTTTCCCTCGTTCACTCTCCGACTCCAGCTCACGATCGGGCCTAAACCCTTTCCCCCGCTCCGCGGTCTCAGCATCCATCGCAGGAGCCTGCAACGCGATGCCGACCGGTTTTTCAGCGGCAGCGGCTACTGCCATTAATAAAAAAAACCCGACGCACGCGTGCACCGCGGGAAGGGGGTAAGCAGGCGGGGTGGGGGCGAGGCGGGAGAGGGGCTGATTGCTGCTACGAAAGGGTTGGCTAGCCGTGCGCGCTACTGTAATTACTAATTGCCATCCGAGCCCAATTAACCGGTCGGCCTCCGCTCCCCTGGTGCACCGCGGGAGCATCGCCAGCCTCCGTCGCCGCCGAATTATTGCTATATAAAGGAGCTGGGAGATAAGAATCGGCGCCGAAATTCTGGTCGAACGCATGCACGAGTAGCCGATGAAGCACGAGCCAATCCAGATAAATGGGATAAATGGAAAATTGAGAGAGGAAGCTGTTGCGAAAAAGATTGCGATGAGGGTGTAGGCGCCGAGGCGCAGTGGAAAAATACGATCAACGACGAGCCGTGACCCGGACCAAGAATTATTAGCAGATTTGCATGTTAATGGAGTGATATCGGGGAGCGGCGTACGCCTCATAATTTCCCGCGTCGCTCGCAAACAGCCGCCAGAATAAGAGCATCGAGGTCGTGGCTTCGCTGCCGGTTTTGCTTCTGTGCAGAGAAGCGGGGTTATGAGGGAAGAGTGAAGGACTAAAGGAGGAAAGCAAGTCGGTGGAGCGAGGGAGCGAGGGAGAGAGAGAGAGAGAGAGAGAGAGAGAGAGAGAGAGAGAGAGAGAGAGACAGCCGAGAGACCGGAATGCGCCGATGACGACCTCGGGGATGCGTCCTTTTTTCTCCTCCCAGCAGAGGCGGTGGCCGCAGCTGGCCACATAGCTAGCGTCTTTCCTTTTGGTTCCTTCTCACCCTCGATTTCGCTTGATCAGCGCCCTCCCGACACCCTTCCAGCATCCGTCTGACGAGCACGTTTTCCGAAAGAATTATCCACTGGATCCCTCAAAAAGCTCATCTAACCACTTCTTTGTAATACGTTGACCAATTATATACTCATTGTGCAATACAATGTGTAAGTCTAGTTATTCGGCTCGATAATACATTTCTACTATCGCCTACCAAGATGAATTTCGAGATATCCCCCTATTGCTGATCGATCTAACGACACGCGGCAAATAATCGAATCTTTAAGAATATAATCAAGTTCTCTTCCGGTCATATATGTCATTGTATGAGTTATTGTAAGACAGGTTACTTTGCAGGTTTCAATTTTTCACAGTAAAATTTTTAAAAATCCAATGAATCATAGCTTTTAGAAAAGTTCGATTTGTCGGCAAATATCTGTCGTAATAGTATCTAGCAAATCTCTTAATTGGCGAAACATAAAATGTAATTTGACTTGAGGAGGTCGAGAAACTAAATTATGAAATACCTTTTTAGCTGAATATATCTCTTTTAATTACCAAATATTGTAAAATAGAAATAAAATACTACTTTATCCGGCAAGTTGCATTGTTTATACGGTTTATTTCATACCTATGTGTAAACGTTGTATATTTAAAATGAATTTTCATTATTCGCTTAAAGAGATTTATAAATTCGATCTGCGATTTCTACATTTTAATATAATATACCGTTCGATGCATGAGACATGTACTTTAGCAAGTACGGAAATAAATTTATGTTTTACGTTAATGACAGATTTACTTAGAAGAATTTGATAAAATGAAAGTACGAGAGTGCAAGCTTGCGCGAACATAAAATTGAATAATTTGCCCAGTTAAATTAGATGGCTATTCGAATATTAATTCAGAATTCGTTAAAATTATCTTTATATATGCACATGTCTGCTAATTGGATTTGAAGAACACAGCTTGGGCTGTTAAAAATTTCTAACATTAATTCACCACTCGATGAAAATTTCCTATTCTTAATATTGCAATCTATATATTTATCAATGTTGTCACCCTTTTAATTGTAATTTAATAACTAATAAATATAAAACGTTTCTTCTTCTTCTTCTTCTTCTTCTTCTTCTCTCTCACTCTCTTTCTCTCCCTCTCTCTCTCTCTCTCTCTCTCTCTCGCACTCACTCACTCACACTCACACACACCCACCCACCCACACACACACACACGCACGCACACGCACACGCACACACGCACACGCACACGCACACGCACACGCACACTCACACACTCTCACACTCACTCACACACTCTCACACTCACTCACTCACTCACTCCGTTGCTTCTGTAATAATTGCTTTTTCAACATTGCTCCAATAGACCACGAAAAGCAAAGAAAGAAATTTAACGAGTGGCGGAATTCTATTATGTGTTAATGCAAAGCTTGTAATTCAATAGGAATTTTTTAGTAGGATATTCCACGTAAATTTTTATTATCTTTGCATAATACTAGATAACATTCACAGTATTTTCGGCGATATTTTCCACTATTTTGAGCAATAAAAATGAAAGATACGTTCGACGGAGCGCCATTAAAATCGTGCTACTACATTGCAATCGTACGTCGAGGATTCGCAAATTGTCAGAATAATAAATTTGATGTTGCGCAGGCGCGGCTGCTTTTTCCCAGCCTATTGGTGCAAGCGACCGACGAAAGACGAACGGAGGAAGAAAATATTTTCACGACGTCGACGGCAACGCGAACGGCGGTCGGCTCGACGACGAAGCTCCTGCGACTCGGAAATAGAAAGTCGTGGAATAATGGCGGTTTGCGAGGGAGGGGACTTTTGATGTATACACGTCGAGCCCATATGTGCCCGCGGTGCACGCTATGAAATCGAGAGGTTATTTCGGGTGAGGTCAGAGGCTGAGATGGTCAGCCACCTACGAGTTCTGGAATATCGCCAGCAAGTAGCGGAGAGCAAGACTCGGGCACCTACGCGAGACCGCCAAGTATATCTCCTCCCGATGCTCGGCATTTGGGTCTCTCCTCTCGATCTCTGTTGAGCAGCATCGAAAATACATCGAAAATACATCGAAAATACATTGAAAATAACATTGAAAATACATCGAAAATACATCGATGTCTCGGATGCATAAACACCGTATGGCTAAGACCTTATTCAATTCCCGACTCTTGTTCCAATATGCGCGGACATGTGTAGATGAAATTTGAATGTACTCCAGATTACACACCCATAACATATTCATCCAGCTTCGTTAAGACTCCGCGACCTTCTGATTCTGTGAGCACTTTGAACGCACTTTGCCATCGCGTATTTCATCGAGCTCTTCCAAGACTTTTACTTGTAGCCACCAAATCAACAAATTTGCATTAATTTAGTTCCTATCATCTTTTATAAGAATAATAATATTATAGCTAGAACTACTGCTTGCACGTGATTTTATAGTTTCGTATACGGGGGACGTAGAACTCACATTGATATTAATTTACAATATGAATTTTCATAAAAAGACTCCGCTCCCATTTACTTTTACTACCTTTTAATCTTCTCTTAATTATCTTACGTTTCAAAATGTTTTATCATGCATATTGGAAATGAAGCAATTGCTTGTTTTTTTAATATAGAATCGATACAAACAAACAATATTTCAAAAATATAAAAAAGTTCTTTATGATAAATATTTCCTTGATGTACAATTAATAAATACAGTTAATAAAAGTTAATAGATAAGGGTGATTTGATATCACACCAAG